CCAAATATCACAAACCAACCTAGGGGTTTTCGTGTCACGATGATGGGTTGTTTTCTGCAGGGTTTTAGACAGATGGCCTCCTCCAGCTGTTTGCTAACTGGGAACTTTGTGGCTGTTCCTTTTGAGAATGAGAACTGAAGCTCCTGAACTTTCCGCTGGTGAGGGCTCCGCACGTGCTCACTGGCCATGCCCTGGTCCTGTACTTGGGCTGTTCATCAGAGCTTTCCAGGGTGGGGGTGACGGGCTGGCCCCAAGCAGGCAGCCCGGGTCGGGCAGTGGCAGCTGCTCCAGGACTTGTGTCCTCAGGGTTTCACTCGAGCTGTGGGGCCGCAGTCCGCGGGGGGTCCTCTCACAGAAGAGACTAGGTGCTGCCGTCAACCTAGGGAAACCCTGGGGAAAAACGGTTTTCCACCGTTTTATCTGTCACTTCCCTCTTCATTCCACTGCCCGGTCTCCTCTGTCCAACTCCCATGTCCATCCTTAACTGTCTCCCCCTTCTTGTGGGCGTCACACTCTGGCCTCAGCAGCACCCAGATGAAGAAACAGAACATAACTGCCACTGCGAGAGCCCACTATCTTGGGCATCTGAGAGCATAAATTAGTTCCCCTCTGTTCGGGGGTGGCTGCATAAAGTCTTGTCATGCATTTCTGGTTTGGGTACCTGGCTGGCTCAGTTGGAAGAACATGCGGCCCTTGATCTCCATGTCGTGAGTTGAGCCCCACGTCAGGCGTAGAGATTACTTAGGAAGAACAAATTTCGCGTTTGAAGGACTTGCTCCGAGGTGGAGGAGATAGCTGGGGACGCGGTCTCTGAGACCTGTGGCGAAAGGCTTCAGCCGTGGCTGAGAACCAAGAGGTCTCCAAAGCATGGGACCCGGTGGGATCCTTCCACGGCCCTTGGGGTTCACGTTGCTGGTTTGCTGGTTTGACTTGTAATATACAGGTGCCAGTTAAATGCCAGGGACTATGCTAGGAGCTCTAGACGGTTGATATTCTCAGAACCACACTGGAAGGCAGGGGTAGGGTTTGTGTTTTACAGCTGAAGCTACTGGCTCAGAGAGGCTCACAAGTCCAGGGCTGCCCGGCTAAGGAGACTTGAAGCTGGGGTTTGAGTCCAGGCGGGCCTAGAACCTGCCGTGCCAGGTCTGCACTCCGTCCCCCCCCTGGCTGCTGGCATTGCAATGTAGAGTATCTCTTCAGTTTCCTTCCTCCTTGAGTTGTGAATTCTTTTGCATTTCTGGATAAGACACCGGCCTTAAAAAAATTAAGAGAAAAAAGGTACATGCTACTATTAGGGCTTAAAAATGGACATTTAATCATTTGCATTGGTCCTCAGGTTCTCATGGTAAAGAATAATACTTCCCTTTTACTAAAACTCAGGGAAACTGGTTTAGAGATGAAGCAAGTTGATCTAACCTGTACCAATGGAGCTAAGCTTCCCAGTTGTTGAAAAACTAACAGTAAAAGTTTCTAAAACCATATTTACATTTTCAATTTCAGAACCAGCATCAATGGTGGAGGGGAGGGCAGAAAATTGAACCCAAAGGGGCGCCTGGGTGGCTTAGTCGGTTAAGCGTCCGACTTTCGCTTAGGTCATGATCTCGCCACTCGTGGGTTCGAGCCCCGCGTCGGGCTCTGTGCTGACTGCCAGCTCAGAGCCTGGAGCCTGTTTCAGAGTCTGTGACTCCCTCGCTCTCTGACCCTCCCCTGCTCANAGCCTGGAGCCTGTTTCAGAGTCTGTGACTCCCTCGCTCTCTGACCCTCCCCTGCTCATGCTGTCTCTCTCTCTCTCCTAGAAATAAATAAAACATTTAAAAAAAAAAAAAAAAAAAAAGAAAATTGAACCCATGTTGGAAGCCCGTAACTCTTATCACTGATGGACTTAGTTTTAGAATTTGAGTTCTCCCTTCTGTTAAACTACACCTGGTACAACTTTTTTTCTTTTTCTTTTGTACCTGGAAAAGTCAGTTATGAAAACTGAAGTGTAGATGGTATGGGGCTATTTGGGGTTAGGGAAGGTGTCATTTAGGGAGATGTTCCTATGACCAGCACCATCTCTAAAGCTGCCAGCTGTAGACAACAGCAGATCTTTCCGGGTCTGGTGGACTGTGGCAGAGCCCGCTCATCTATAATGTTAATACTGAAGGACCTCACCCACTACCATGGCTTCAGCTGCCACTTTACTCTGATCATACGAAACCCTTAACTCCAGCCTGAGTCGCCCTCCAGGCTCTGGCTCCATCCATCCTTAGACAACTCCCTTACATTTCCCCAGACACCATGTCACCCCAATTCTGGTTGCCTTTGCTTGGATTTGGGCTACCGCAGAGAAAGTCCTTTTTGCTCTTGGCTATAGCCGCTTCTATTCAAATGAAGCCAAGAGCATAAGCAGAGGGGAGGGAGGAACAAGCCAGGAGGTGAGCAAAGACAGGCCAACCAGGTCACTTGTAGGGGACAGAGATGGCTGGTCTTGAGGAAAGTGGGCAGAAGGGAAAATTAGGTCCGGGCACCTGGGTGACTCGGTTAAGCGTCTGACTCTTGATTTTGGCTCAGGTCATGATCTCATGGTTCATGGGATCAAGCCCTGTGTTGGGCTGCACACTGCTTGAGTTCTCCCTCAAATATTTATTTAAAAAAGGAGAAATCAGGTCAAACTGAACCCAAGACCTTAAACTTCCAGGGGAAAAGTAACTATCACATTCCTTTAAGCACAAGGAGCCTAATAGATTCACAGACTTGAGCCAAGACGCTGCTGGTTCTGTCATTTATTAGAAGACCTGGAACAAGTCACTTTTTTTTTTCTTCAGTATATTGGAGTGACCATCACCTACTTCACAGGGTTGTAAGAGCTAAAAGCCAGTATGTTGGCAGAAACTGTTTATTCTGCATGAATACCTGATTGTGGCAAGTGCTAGGAAGTCCAAGCTTTCTGAAGGTTTCTGAGACTTAAACAGTATGACTTTTACAGATGGAAAGGGGGAGTACAGCTTGCTCGGAGGCCCAGGTGAGGGTGGATCTTGAAACATTTGTGGCCTGAGGCCAGGTGGGAGGCGGAGATGGGCAAAGAGGTAAGGCACACATGATCCAGTCTCAGGAGGCCACACATTTTATTCTGGGGCACGAGAAGCCTCTGAACGCAGGGACCCAGGAAGGTCAGTCCCACAGCGGTGGCCATGCAGTGGGCAGCCTGGAGAGGCAGACACAGCACCAGACCCCAAAGGAAGGGGAAACAGAATTCAGCCTGCCGTTTTTGGAGATGCTTACCGTGGGAGATTTAGACCAGGCCAGATCTAGCGCTGACCGCTAAGTGTGGCTAACCTGGTCTTAAAGGACACTTCTGGGGACCCTCATGGGGGGCACCAAGTAGGCTGTTGGTGCCCTCCAGACAATGTGGGGACAGCTGAATTCTAAGGTGGCTGCACGCAAGATAGGGTATGAAGCCGGTGTTTACCTCCTGGGCATTTGAAAACTTATTAGAGAGAGAGAGACAGAGAGAACTGCTCTCTCATCTGTCTGCATGGCTACAAGCAAGCAAACACCAGGAGTCAGGCAGGAGTCTGTCATAGCTCAGTGCTGCCGCCCCCACCGCCTGCTCATTCTTTACTTTCCGTTGTCACCTGGGAATGGCAACATGCGTGAAGAGACCTGCACATGAAAAATGCTTCACTGAGACTATGTAACAGAACTCACCTGTCATTCTCCTGAGTGGTCCTGTTGTCCCCACTGTTTGGGGAGCGACCAGAGTTGGATTGAAGAGCCCCCACGGGCTCTCAGCTGCACAGGAACCATACAGAACCATGGGGAAAACTGCATTAGATGAGCGGGACCAGTGATTTTAAGTTGTAGATCCTGCGATGGGCGAACTGGTATATTAGGATAACTGAACTTGAGGGGACAGAAGGATGAGTGGATGTCAGGTTCATGGCTCCGCATTTATGCTTACTTGCGCTCTCGGGTAGGGGCACGCTACTTAAGTCACTCTAAGAGACGCTAGTGACATAGCCACCTGGACCCTTCAATTGGCTATGTATTTCCTGGGACCTAAGTGCAGGTCAACATGCCAGGTTGAAGAGATACAGGGACAAAACCTAAATGAATGTTGGTAATTAGTAAGTGTATCTCTGGTGAGGACCAGAAAAATTTATTTACTGGGTGATTAACAATGAACACTCAGCTCTGCACACTTCCACGTGCACCAAGCCGCTTCCTGCCTTCTCGCAGCACAAACTGTGACACATGATTACTGTCAGTGCCTAGAGGCGCAGGGGCAGCACAGAGCATGCTCCCCAGCCTTCTGGTTTGAAGTTCTGGTCCCTGCTGAACAGGTCTGGGTGCCCAGTCCTCTGCACCTGTCAAACGATGCTAATAATTTTTATACTGCTGTACCTCCTTGGTGCATTGTTGTAAGGATCAAAGAAGATGGGGGAAATCTTTATAAAATATGAGCTACTAAAATTATATTAAGATGTAGGTAGCTCATCTATCAGGTGACTAACCTGATATTCTCATCTTTTGGGGGGCAGATTTGGTTTTCTGTACATTAATTTGTACTAGGGTTCTGGCAGGAAACAGATGGAACAAACACTCAAGGGAGTAACAAGTTCCTGGGCTTGCAACAGGGAGGTGCAGTTAGTAGCAGATGTGAAGAGACACATAGAAGCTGCTGGAACCTAGAGAGAACTATGTCCCAACAGAGGCTTTGGCGCTGGGTGGAGAACACAGCTAAGCCCCCCACAGCCCAGCAGGAGGGGAGCTAGGGAGCCCACCGTTGTAGTCCATGGACGGGGGTCAGCCTCTTGGGGCACGCGCAGAGCAGGCAGAGGAGGGCACACTGGATGTGGAGGGGCAAACGTAAGCTCTCCAGCAAAGCCATTAAAACTGGTCTGTACCTGTTTTTACTCCTCATCCAAGCTATGAGTAGACGGAGCTGCAGCTGGCTCACTGCTAGAGTGGCCAAGCATCATGATCTTCTAAACCGCTGACAGAAGCAACACACCACGCATCGTTCTTTCTAGTTTATTGTTCAGTACAAAGACAGGCCTTGAAAACTTTGTATAAACATCTCACAAACTGCTTCTGGATTACAAAAAAATGAAAGCCAACTTTCTTTGAGATGGGGACCTTAACGCTGACATTCAAATCACCATAACAGGAATAGGAGCTTTTGTACCTGACATTCTGGAAGGTGCTTCAACAAAGGCATGCTAGGGCCTGTTTAAAACCTCTAGCATCTAGAAAGATCCATTTTTCCTCCCAATGCCTATGAATGGTAATAAAAGGGGAATCCAAGATCTGCTACTGATGTTGAACTAGTCTCAAAAAGCTTTTTAATGACCACCTCCCAGTCCAGCCTTCAATTTTTCTCTAGAGACTCAAGAGAAAGAACTCCCCGCTTCCCCTTCTCCCCAAGTTTCTCCAGGCTGGTGTACACCTTTCTGTGACCCAGGCACTCACACCAACAGCCTCACTCAATCTCATTAGGCTTCTTGAAACGGCTTTTGGTGAAAGAAAACGTCAATTTCATTACTGCCAATCTTCAACCCTTAGCAAAGTTTTTGTTTAAAAGGTGGTGTGTGTGTGTGTGTGTGTGAGAGAGAGAGAGAGAGAGAGAGTGGGTGGGGCACAGACTATTTGAGAAATTCAACAAGAAACAAGTACCTTTTATGAAAAGGACTTTTGAGGTCTCTGAGCTCACAACTTAACTGAAGTAACTGTACTGAAGTGTCTCCACTTAAAACATAGCACCTTCTTCTTAGCAGCCGGATGGATGGGATCTGTGTACACAGCATCCATTTAAAATGCCCTCACTGGAAACAGGAGCTGTGGCAGAGGCATGGCTGCTCCTCACTCCCTTCAGTCAAATCCACATCCCTCCAGGCGGCACCCTGTGGAATTAGTTGTAGGCGAAACAGTAAAGGTCCTGCTGGACAGCCATGAGCAACCCTGGGGCCCCCCGGAAGCCCCCGAGCCGAGAAGAGAAGGCCACGCTGGGGATGTCAGACTTGGAGGTGGGGTGAGGGGAAGGTATGGTTCTTAGCAGGCAGGCGTCATGGAAGCTCCAGATTCTTGTGTAGCAGTCCTGGCCCACTAAGAAAGAGGGAAGACACAGAGCAGGTCAGGGAGGAACACACGGGAGAAGCTGTGTACATGTGGACGTGGCTTCTCACAATTTCTGAGGCTCAACAGGAATCCACGGGAGCCAAAACACAAATGCAAATGGAAATTACTTCTGCTGCTAGTATGTACTTCTTGAGAATCAATGTTCCAGGTCTCCCTGTGCTCTAGGAAACACAACCAGTTGCAGGAATTCAAAGCGACAAGACGCGATGGTTGCGTGATACCCTGGATCGTGCCCCAGGCATCTCGGCTGACAGGTGGGCACTCTGCTTCTCTTGTCAAGGCTGTTCAAGGGCCCAGCCCCTTTGGTCTAGATGACCTGCAACTGATTTACTTTGTGTGAAACAGTAGCTAGGAAGATCTCTTCACTTTAATACATCCTGGGGACAAACCGGGTGACAACTCTCCCCAGAGCTTTTTCTGGTTTAAAAAAATTTTTTTAAAGTTTGAGAGAGCGTGAGTAGGAGAAGGGTAGAGAGAGGGACAGAGAATCCCAAGTGGGCTCCTCGTTGGCAGGGTGGATGTGGGGCTCAAACTCATGAAACTGAGTTCATGACCTGAGCTGAAACCAAGAGTCAGACACTCAACTGACTGAGCCACTCAGGCGCCCCGTGCTTTTCTGGTTTAACGGCTCAGTTGGTTAGACCCCATGTCTTTAGGCTCAGAGCTGTGAGGGATGTGGCACCTAATGACCACTGGCTGTGGCAGGCCAGACACATGATCTCTGCTACTGGAGATCTTCCAGGAAAGGAGGGCAGACCTTACAGTTTCCCAGATGTCACATCTGTGCCTCTGGCCAGCTGAGACTGTGTGCTCCCTTGGCTGTGGATGGATTCAGGCCATGCGGTTCACCGATTGCTGCAGCTAGCCCACTACCCAGGTCTGCCTCTTCACAGGGCTTCTCTCTTTTCTATTATCCAGAACACAGAAGCTCTTAGATGAAAACTTATGGAAACCAGACTGAAATAGGAAGCTAACTCCTGCTGGCAGTGAAAGTAGTAAATAAGCCTGAGAAAGTCCTAACCAAGTGACACTTCTTGCCGATGGGAAACAAGTACATTCTGTAGACATATTTGCAAATGTGAGGGCTTGACAACACCAAGAACATATTCCTTCTGTCAAGGGCTTCCTATTTGTCAAACCACTGAACTTCCATGCTAACAGAATATTCTGTAGCCCAAAAACTGCAAAGCCTGTGATCAACCTGTAGCTACTTTCAAAGGGGTTTAGTGGCTAGACATCTCTGCTCCTACCCTGCAGATCATGGGTCCCCACAGATTGTGGTAAGGGGGCCAGGAACCAGTTCTGTTACAGTGACCCTAATTTCTTTTCTCAGCATCCTCTGTTAGAAAGTGAGCTCAAAGAACAGGGAGTGCAAACTTTTCAACAGGATAGGATATGGGTCACACTGAACGCTGACCAGGCGAACACCCACGTTGCCCAAGCTGCTAAATTTTATGGCACCTAACTTGCCTGTTACTGAAGTGACGTTCTCCCACTGATGCGGGGACAGAGGGCTTTCCACCTAGTGGATGCATAACTGCTGCTTACTAATGTCCTATTCTACGTTCCATCTGGTCCCCCCTGACCCCGGGAGTCCATAGTCCCATGTATTCACTTCCGATTTGGAGTAATTTCCCCCCCTCTGCCATTTTACTTGACAGGACAGAATATCTCCCCTTCTCCAGGTACCTGCTACCACGATTCCTTCTTCCTCATGCACATGCAGGGGCAGGTAGGCATACTCGTTCACATGACCTTCGTACTGCCTTAAACACTTAGTGGTCCTCAGGTCCCACAGCTTGATCTGTGGAAAGCACAAGGGCCATTAGAGAGTCTGGCAGGCACACTGGTGCACCTAGGCGTGGAAGCCAGGGAGGGCAAGGTGGTGTCCAAACTCCTTCAAGTTAGGAAAATCTAAATTTCAAAAGTACCAAAAACCAGTTTCAGGTCTGTCTAGCTCAGGCTGGGCTCCAGCTCTGCACGGCCCACAACTCGCCTCGTTTCCAGCTGCTTTTTCCTTGCTATTGTCTTACATGAGGGTCTCTTCTGAAGAGCCTTTCATCTGGCAGAACTCTGGGCCAGAGTTCGAAAGAGTCAGTGCTATCCTACCTTTCCCGCCATGTCGGATGCCATTAGGTTTTGCTCTTCTTGGAGGATCTGCACAGAGGTCACTGCTGAGTCGTGGAACAGGCGTGTGGCCTTCCAGCCCTTGCCCTGATTTCGACAACGCAGATCAATGGCAAAGATCTCCCCAGAACGACAGCCATTAAACAGCAAAGGAGCCTATGGAAAAAGGGACTGGTTGGTACCTCCTCCTCTAAGGCGGGAGGGGTGAGCCTTCCAGAACAGCACGCCTGCCTCACACCCCTCTCCCAACCCCTGGGTCAGAGGTGTGGGCTGACGGCCTGGCGGGGATTTGAGCCTCAGCGTAGCTGGAAGGGTTCCTGAGGAAAGGGTAAGAGAACTGGACCCCATGTGTCTCCCAGGGTCCTCCCCACTGGAGGATACACTGGACCCTTAGGCTTCATTCTGTGGAGCCCACATGATGGCGCCTCATCTCCACCAAGGAAGGTCCTTTGTGAGAAGCGAGGGTGGGGAGCATGGAGTAGGAGCGACGGGAGATCCGGGAAAGCCTTGAAGGGTGGCCTCCCAGACAGGGTAGATGGCTGAAGAAACCTGGACAACACTTCTGCGCCTACTGCTGACTACACGTCGGCAGTTTGCACACTCCATCACGGTTTTAAAGAAAGATGGCATTTTTAATAGGAGAAGTCTTTGAAATGTAGGAATGATTAGAATTTTGTCAAATTTATAAAACATGTAATCTGAAAGCTATGTATGAGGCTATTTAGTGTTGTGAATTGGGACTTAATTTATACATTAAAAAAGTTTACTTGTCCTGATGGCTAATCCAAGTACTTAAGAAGTGCTAATAGCTCATTTAAATTGGAAGTTGTTTAAAGCCAATTTAGGCAGCTTCCTGCCCGTGGGTCCTGTCCCCATGCTTTAATAAAATCACCTTTTTGCACTAAAGAAAAAAAACCAAAAACCCCAAAAACCCAAAGCCAGTTTAGCCAGGCCTTTCTGAATCAGCCAGCTCTCCTTCAAGGCAGATATAATCACCAACTGAACCGTTAAGCCTTTCTGATGTCCTCTTTTTTTTCCCCTGGAAAAGAGGGACAACCAGATACCACACAGAGGAATCCAATTTCAGTCCAGCAAAATTTCCACTCTTGGGAAACTTTATACCCCTCCCCCCCTTCCCAATCCAACCAACCATGAGAGTAAACTGCTGGGCCAAGACATCGCTGTTGGTCCCAAATGACTGTCGGTGTCCTGTCACCACATTGGTCACGAGGACTCGCCGAGACAAGCCTGACAGAGACAGGGATGGGCCAGAAAGACAAGGATCACTCACAGTCTGGACAGTGGGTTTGAAGTCTGTGAAATCCTTTACACTGGGAACCCGTGGAGGGCAGCCGCGGCTTACCTGTACTGAAGCAGTTATTTGCCTGGATGTTCAGGGACCACGCACAGGACCAGGCCCCGGGGATCCGGAAACTGCACAGCATGCCGGGCCGGTCTCCTGTTGATGGGGACAGTGGCCATAAATGATGGCTGCCCTTGAGGGATGGAGATCTCCTCTGTGCTGCCAGCCCCATGACCACTAGATCTGGGTAACCTCCAGTAATGGCTGCTTGGATCTATTCATTGGCCCCATTCTGGGTTTTGTGGTAGCAAACAAGAGATACTCCACTGGGGTACCTGGCTCAAGAGTGGTCACTCTGAGAATGAGCACATGAATCTTTCCTGCCTTCCCAGCAGTAGTGTTAGAACTAACTGCCGTCAGAGAAGCAGTGTGGTGTTTTTACAAGAGGGTTTCAACCCCATATCACATTATTAGATGTGTGATCTCAAGGAAAACCTTTTTTTATATTTTCTCTTTTTTTTTTTTTTATATTTTCTCTTTTTTTTTTTTTTTATTTATTTCTACGAGAGAGAGAGAGAGAGCATGAGCAACCTTTTGAAAATAAGCCTTTTAATTAATAAAATTAAGGGGCGCCTGGGCGGCTCAGTCAGTTGAGCGTCTGACTTTGGCTCTGGTCATGATCTCATGGTTTGTGGGTTCGAGCCCCACACTGGGCTCTGTACTGACAGCTAGCTCAGAGCCTGGAGCCTGTTTCGGATTCCATGTCTGCCCCTCTCTCTGACCCTCCCCTGTTCTTGCTGTCTCTCTCTCTCAGAAATAAAAAACATTAAAAAAAATTAACAAAATTGACAACAAATCCTAAGTATATAGTTTAATGAGTTATTACAAAGTAAGTATAGCTATATCACCATCTAGGTTAAAACACAGAACATGCCAGTACCCTGAAAACCCTCCCAATTACAACCTTCCCATTCTTCCCTAAAGAGAACCACTATCCTGACTTATGACACCATAGACTAATTCTACAAGGTGAAGTCTGAACCTCTTTGCCTCACTCTCCTCACCTGTAAAGCTGGGGTAACACAGCTCTTGCCGCGCACACTTGTGTACCATGGAATGGCAGGCAGCGGGCTAAGCGTGCATCACCTTGTACCCTCCCGTCCCCCACTGGGGTAGGTGCTCTCTTCACAGATGTTATGCAATCTGCTCAAGTTGCTAAGGGGCAGAGGGCCCATGCCACGTCTGCCCGAAGCCCGTATTCTTGTCTAACTGGTCCTAATTCTCCGAAAGACTGAAGACTTAATGTCCAGGACACTGCCAGGAAGGAGAAGTCCAACTGCCTTCGGGCACACAGAACGCAGGCGTCCCCAGGAGCATCTGCCATGCTTCTCTGCGAGGTCTGTGCGGGCAGCCCAAGTAAATACTCTGATCTGCACTCCTTACGTATACTTCTAGCTGTTCTGGCTGAGGCGACCCCAATGGAGGGGTGTGTAAAGATGCACAAGCTTTTAGTACAAATCCTGGGTCCGGTTTACGGAATCTTCCTACCAGAGCTTCTGTAGGCTGTCCCCACCTGCCCTGCGGTCCCCACCCTTCCTGTCCAAGCCTTCACCACAGGAGTCTACACCATTGTTGTGACCACAGCTCTTGGGAGGCGGGGACCGAGACCTCCTTCAGAGCACCTCCTTATCCAAAGGAAAAGGTACCTGGGTGACTACTGACAAACAGTGACGCAGGGAGCAGGGTGGCACAGCCTGGAGTCTCTGCGATTCCCATGAGGCACAGCCTGGAGAGCTGTTAAGGACAGTCAAGTACAAGACTCTCCTCTGGGAAGAGAATGGGCATTAGTACCCTTCAAGAAACTGATGCCATGAGTCAGATTTAACATGCTTACATTTTCTAGATTTAGTTACAGATTTTTAAAAAACTTTTTTAATGTTTATTTTGGGGGGGTGAGGGGGACAGGGGGACAGGGAGATAGAATAAGTTGGGGCAAGGGAGAGAGAAAGAGGGAGACACAGAATCCAAAGCAAGCTCCAGGCTTGAGCTGTCAGCACAGAGCCCAACACAGGACTCAAACTCACAAACCATGATACTGTGACCTGAGCCAAAGTCAGACAACTAACTGACTGAGCCACCAAGGTGCCCATTTCAAATATCTTAAAAGGAAAAGAAGTGTCACAGTTAAAAGTCTCTCTGACCCCTCCCCAGTCCAATGCTTCCCTCTCTCCTACCCAGAAGCACATTCTAAAACTGGTCTGAGGTCTGGGCCATGCTCTCAGAGTATCTTCTACAACTTTCCCATCTCCACTGTCTTCTAGATTCACCTGTATTGAAGCTTGTAACTCCCATTCCTTCATTTTCACTGTGGATGAATACACAAATCATCTGTCTTGTGTCCTGCTGATGGGCACTTACGTTGTTCTGGGGTATTCTGCTCTACTGCTGGAGCGAGCATCCCTCTGGTATTCCTGTGTCCTATTCCATGTGTGGGAACCTGCTTTAAGGCAGTGTTTTCTTGAACCCACACTAGGAGTTTCATTTTACGCTACCACGCATTGCATTCACACAACTAGCTGAAACAGAAATTTTAGAAAATATTTACCCTTACTAAATATGGAACTGATTATTTTCTAGTCTGTTTCATTAAAGAAAAAATGCTCACAACGGATTTAATGGCCCACAGACAGAGGTCATGACTTGCAGTTTGCAAACAGGCTCTAGTGTCTAAACCTAGTATGGAAATCTGGGGTCATAAGAGGTTTCAACATAAAGGGGTCTTATCAATTTACTCACACCAGCGTTTCCTCCATCTGCCGAACTGGGCACTATCAGACTTTTAAAATGTGCGCTCATCTGAACAGGTATAAAGTGACATATCATTTTAACTTCAGTTTCCTGGGCTACAACTGGATGTGCCGATCCACCAGGTCACAGCCTTTTGGGTTTCCTTTTCTCTGAACTGCCTCCGCATGTCTACTGGGCCGTCTGCCTTCCAACTGCTCCACCTCATTTCCCTTCACAGGTGGACTTCTCTCAACAGGAGTCTGTGTTTCCCCACTTGCCTGCCCTCCTGTCACTCTCTCAACAGGAGACTGTGTCACCCCACTTGCCTGTCCTCCAGCTCACCGAAACCCAGGTCTGACACTCCTCTTCCAGTGAGGTGTTCTCCCCAAGGTCTCCAACGGACCGTTTCTCACTCTGATCAACACCTTCCAGTCCTGCCTGTGGCTACGCGACACTTTCCAACAACACGCCCCTTTGTGGCCTCCACAACTGCTCTCGGAGTCCCCTCCTCGGGCCTCCTTCTCTCACCTCCACTCCCTGGCTTAGATGCTGGGCCTCTGGACTCGTGCCTCTCTTCCACTCCTGCTCATCCGTCACAGTCCCTCCCCCTGCCCTCGCTCTTGCAGCAGCCCTCCACCTGAGGTCTCACCATTGCCAGCCTCTTGCCCACACTGCTTTGTAAGAAATGCCTCCATGGCCACAATCTTCCAGATCATTCCAGCACCCAGGACCCCACCCTGCCAGAGACATCAGATATCAGACCATTTACTGGTGCCCAGTGTGCCAAGCTCCCTCTGCCTCTTCCTTCTACTGTGAGCTCCGTCCCCTCCTTCCCATGTGGGATCACCTCCAGGAAGGCCGCCCCAATCCCTTCATCCCGCTTGTGTCCAATTGCCCCACGGCCGTCACTGTATAGACTGAGTACCTGCTGCGCTGCCATCTCTAGAACCTTGCACAGGGATTGCATATCAAATCAACAGATTTTGGAGGAACGAACACATACCTCAGTGAAAAATGTAAATATCTGCAAAGCAATCAAGCAACATTACTGATAGTCTGAATGTGGGGTGTGTGCACATCACACTGCCTTGGGTGGTAAGCCCCATGTTAAATATAACAGTACAGAGACTGCTAAAGCTATAAATGGTAACACAGAGCTGGGAAGCCCAATTCCTCCCTAAAGAAACCTCTTTTGCTTCTGGGTTTGAGGCCGACGATGTGGGGAGGGACTAAAGACCCAGGTAACCCTTAAACCCTGTAGGATACAAATGGGGTCAGTATATAACCCTTTAATAGGCCACAGGTTGAGAAGCCCAGTAAGTACAACTTCAATCTAACCTACCACCATTCTTTGGGGGAAAAATGCAGAGGACAGGTCTAAACAAGGTGCCATTTTTGTAAAGGGAGAGAATTCCATGACCTTCAGCAGAAGCAGCAAGTGCACAGAAGCCTGAAGATTACCTGAAATGACCACCAGAGGGCAAGCAGTTGATGAAGTTACCACAGACCAGATCTTTAAACCCAGTTATATGGATTTTGGTCCTCTCCTTAGTGTAAGGAGAGAAACATGGGAAAATGTCATCCTGTTTTAAGATCAGAAACAAGAGCAAGGTTCTTGTTTTCTCTCCTTTATGACTTCGTCTCTTCGATCCTCTTGAAAGATCGCAGTAACAGGTGGCCTTATCCCCCCACAGAATCCCACCAAATGAAAGCCACATAACGTTTTCAATTTATAGAACTCACACAATTTTGTTTGTCTTATATAAAATTTATAACTAGAATCTCTCATGTTTTTAAAATGGAGTGTTTTGGGGCACCTGGGTGGCTTAGTTGGTTGTGTCTGACTTCAGCTCAGGTCATGATCTCATAGTTTTTGAGTTCGAGCCCCACATTGGGCTCTGTGCTGACAGCCTGGAGCCTGCTTTGGATTCTGTGTCTCCCTCTCTCTGCCCCTCCCCCACTCACACTCTATCTCTCTCTCAGAAATAAACATTAAAATAAAATAAAATGTTTTAAAAATAGAGTGCTGTGAGGGCACCTGGGTGGCTCAGTCAGCTAGGCATCTGACTCTTGATTTCAGCTCAGGTCATGTTCTCATGGTTTGTTGAGTTTGAGCCCTGCATCTGGCTCTACATTAATAGCACAGAGCCTGCTTGGGATTCTCTCTCTTTCTCTGCCCCTTCCCCACTCATGCTCTCTCTCTTAAACATTCAAAAAAAAAAAAAAAAAAGAGAGAGAAAGAGTGTCATGGAACAAATAAAAAAAAAAACCCAAGAGGTTCTAATTTTTTGTACGCATTATTTGTTGAGGACCCATGACGTGACCAACACTGTGCTAAGCACATTCATAAATGCTAACTAACGTTAGCCCTGTGACAACTCATGAAGTAGCTATTGGTACAATGAGTGATCACAGTTTCGAGAACTCATTTATTATGGAAATAAACCAAGAGCAAGACTTATGAATGTGTGGCTTTGGCTCAAACAATAATATTCTCAGAAGCACGAGACAGACGGGTGTCTTGTGCATCAAGAGCCCTTAGGGACTCCAGAGGAAGGGTCTGGCTAGCCTGAAACTGCTTCTGGGCTCCTAGCAGAACCCTGATTGCTCTCTGAGAGGGCGAAGACTACAAGGAAGAGTGCCCTAAAGGAGGCTGTCTCTGGCAGACACCCCCAGCACAGAGCCCACACACTTGCGTCCAATGCCAAAGGAATCCCTTTGACTGATATCTGCCCTCAGTCTTCCCCTGCAAGGGGTCCAGCCCACCCTCACACCACTGTAGCTCTGACTTCCTCCTCCTTCACCTCAGGAGGATGTGGGGTTCATGCTTAGGCTTTACTGTTCTTTAACTGATCTTAACAGTATCTGGCACATAGTGACATCAATATCATCCAGGGACCTCGACAACTTCTCTGTGCTCCATGGGAATCTCTATTCTCTACCTAGCTGCAGTGCTCCTTCCTAAAGGGTGAGATGTGCACATAAAATGGTGCAGACCTCTGGTCACTGAGATGCCACCTCACAAACCCCACAGACATTCCTCAACAGGGCCTGGCCTGCCCATCAAACCTCTCCATCTGCCAAAAGATACAGAATGTGGGAATCCAAGTGATTCAGCGAGGCCCAGCACACAGAGTTCACCTGGTGAGGAAACACACAGCAAGACAGAAAAACTCATTTGAAACAGACAAATCATTGCCTATGGAATAACTGGGAGGGATACAGACATAGGGCTTCCTTCTTTAGGTCTCACTGTTTTTAAAGGGGCTGGAACAAGCATCAGAACAGGGAAGTTCCCTGCCTTGCCATGTAGGGTCTTGAGAGGAACAGGGAGGAAAGAACCCCCAGGCCTTGGTCGTCAGCATGGACCTCACGGTGAGAAATCTAGTAACTCTCTGGTTTGGGGATGGATTCTCTGCAATAGCAGGGGACGAAGCCCAACTCTGAAAAGCATGTTGTATTTCACTTCATTCAGAAACCATTTTCAATCTGTATCCATCTTGTGGCTCATGTTCTCAATGAATAGAATGTCACACAGCTTTTTACACTTGCAGCCATCACCCCAGTGTGATTTAAAGGTTGCTCCCTAGACAGCAAGCGGAGCTGTATTGTATCTATGTAACCTCTGGGTAGGCTGGAGCCTGGCCGAGAGAGTGAGGCCCAGGAGGGCTCCACACAGGCTAACACAGCCCACTGCCCAGGAACTCGGTGCTTGGCATGGGCTCCTTCAGGTCAACTTGATCCACTGGAGGGAAAGTCTGTACAAGCAGTTAAAGAAGCTTCTCAAGCCTCTCATGCCTTCTCCCAACTTCTCCCAACTCTCAACTATTGACAGTTATTTCTCTTCTAAGATAAGAAACTCCTGAGGCCCTTTCCTTCCCTTATAGGCTCTCAAGATCGAAAATTCCATTTTCTCTAGTTAAAATGAAGTATCCATGTTCTCTTCTCTACTATGAACTGGGCCAGCTCCTGCAGGGCCTCTGCATCCCTGGCAAAGGGGGTTGCAAGGCTAATGGGAAAGGCAGCATACCTTCCGGTTGGTGAAGTAGAGGTTTTCGTGCATATGCACCTTGAGTGAGGGGGTCTTCAGACCGCGCAGGCTGATGATGCCATACTTGGAGCCTCCGACTTTGACATCATTCACTGTGAAGAGCCGGTCACTGTTGGTATCGGCCTGGAGGGGAAAAGAGAGTGTCGGTGACCTCCCAGGCCGAGACAAGTGAGCTAAGACCACCTGCCATCTGTCTTGGATCCTGCGCTCTCTGCATCTGCAACTGGTGAGTGCTCCCACCCACAAGGGAGCATGGACAGAACCTGACTTGACCCTGCCCAGTCCACCTGTCAGTGGGCAAAGCTAACAGGTATCTGATCTCAAGAGGTCAGGAGCAGGGAGGAAGGCAGGGAGGGGGCACTGTCAAGAAGCATGAGGTCTGCACAGTGACTTCACTCAGAACTGGGTTTTGCAAAGTCCCTACATCCACCCGGATGAGTCACATGGGGACATGCAGTCATCATAAAAACCATACAACAATGTGGAAAATGCAAGTTATAACTGTGAAAGGGTAAAAGGAGGATACAAAATTGGATCTCCAATACACGGGCACTTTCCCCCCAACCAGGTACCAAAAAAAAAAAAAAAGAGCCTACTGTACTTAAGAAACAAATTACAACAGAAAATACTACAGGGGCACGTGGGTGGCTCAGTTGGTTAAACATCCGACTTTGGCTCAGGTCATGATCCCAGTTCGTGAGTTTGAGCCCCACATCAGGCTCTGTGTTAACAGCTCAGAGCCCGGAGCCTGTTTCAGATTTTGTGTCTCCCTCTCTCTCTCTGTTCCTCCCCCACTTGCACTCTGTCTCTGTCTCTGTCTCTCTCTCAAAAATAAACAGTAAAAAAATTAAAGGGGCCAGGCCTGGATGGCTCAGTCGGTTAAGCATCTGACTTCAGCTCAGTTCATAATCTCACGGTTTGTGGGCTCAAGCCCTGCACTGGGCTCTATGCTGTCAGTTCAGAGCCCGGAGCCTGCTTCAGATTCTGTGTTTCCCTCTCTTTTTGCCACTCCCCTGCTTGCACTGTCCCTCTCTTTCAAAAATAAGTAAACATTAAAAAAAATTTTTTTTATGTAGTAATTATTTCAAAGCAAACCCCTACATACTCCGGTTTTTGTATATACTTATAAATACAACATACACACATACATGGATTTGGATGCTGGTGAAACTTCACTTTGCAAATTTACTTGGAAAGCAGCTTCCTGAAGAATCATGGCAGTGACAGGAATCAGCTGAAAAGCTGATCTCTGGGTGGCAAATCTCCCAATGCTCTGGTCACATAGCCAGCAAGTCACATCTAACCCTGGGTTACTGGGGAGATCTGGGTGCTAGTGCCAGCCTTGTGTGAGATGAAGTAGGAGGACCAGGGCTCAGACCATACTAAACAGCACGTGTATCCCCACCCAGTTTTATGGAAGAACCCCAGGGAGGGAGGTCCTGAGCGGAAGGCACTGTAAGAAAGTTTTCCAGTGATTTGGGTCAAACTGTGCCCCCAAATGCATGGGAGAGTAAAGCCAGGAGAGAACACGAGTCCTTGCATAACCCTTACAGAAGGGCTCTCCTGTTGAGGTCTCTTGGGGCAAGACCTCAAGGGTCAGCACTGTGGCTTCAGGTTCCAGTCCTTTCAGCAGACCATCAGGCTGAGGCTCTCCATTTTGTGTCCTTCTCGAATTCTCCTCAGCCTTCCCCTGGCCTCTAGAAGGAAAGGGCTTACGGGGCATGCCATGATCTCCTGTGTCCTCAAGCTTCTAGTCTAACTCAGTGGTGTGGCTCCTTTTGTTTGCAGTGGACTCTCGGTCCTCTGCCAACATTTCCCTGAACCCTGGGTTCAAGCAGTCTCTGGCCTTAACTTTGGCTTCCAGCCCAGGTCTAACCTAAAGCAGAGAAGATCTTCTGCTCCCTGTAAAGGGCATGATAGAGGTGTGCTGGATGTGCTGATTCAGGAGCACAGACCTACAGGCCCTCGCCACTGTGGTCAGAGCCAGCAAGCAAGGGAGTAACACAAAGTTGCTACTAAAGGACAGTGGTGTTTCAGGTGTGACCACCAGACAATGCCCAGTATAGGAAGGATCAGAAGCCCCTGGTCCACAGTATACCTTTTCAATTTGCACACAACACACCAAAGGGAAAATTACTTTGTGATAGTTCTTAATGTGTAGTGGGCCCAGGCTCTCAGATTAAATGACAAGAGCTGTAATGGGCGTGAGGATGGTCAGCAGAGCCTGCACTGCCAGCTCAGCGCCTGCCAGCAGGTAGCCACAAAATATTGGTTACAACCATAAAACCAAGAGGACACCACCTGCTTTCATGGCACTGGCTTCCACACGGCTAGTCCCGATGAAAACCAATGTTAAGCCATGCAGTGTCAGGGGATAGCAGCTGCACCTCTGGCACCTGCGGGGCGCTCCCTCCCACTCACCAGTATGAGGTTAAATCGGTCGCTTGCCAAAGCGGAGGGATCCGAGCTCTGAATCTGGACCTTTTTCCTCTGCATGCAGCTCACTCGCAGCTCATGAGCTAAACTGCAGAGGGAAAGAGGGATGGGGAGGGCATGGATGCCGCAACGAGACACCCGTGAAGCAGACTCGGAAGCTCTGCCCTGGCCCACACCCTGGAGACTGCCTCCCCTAGTCAGCCACCTCTCCTCCGAAGTAATTCTCAGCAATGGAGTTGAGCAGGGTCCCAAATAACCTCAACTGCAGAACTCTAATGAAAACTAAGGCCAAGAAATGGGTGGCTCATTCTTAGGGTCAAAGAAAGCTGAACTAGACCAATTTTCTTTGGATCACCTTGTACAACTTCTTTCTTGAGACAGAAAGAATGTGCCTGAAAAATGAAAAAAACAGCAGGCTGAAGAGCACCCGCTAGTATGAAGCAGGTATGGAGCCCTTCCCTTTCTACATCATAGGCACTACCCCGCCAAGAACAAAGCATGTGTTAGGGTGAACGGAAAAGTTTCTAACCAAACCTTTAACTCCCTTCCCTCTCAGGAGAGAAATCTGGACAGGCATGCCCTACCTGCCCTGGTGGATACCCCTTGCATGGCTGGCCTTCCCTGAAGGGGGCCGTGTTTCACAGTAAGTGCCATAAAGCCACCTGAACTCATGTTGTTTTTTTACAACATGAGTTCTGTGCAGAGCAGGAAGGCAGCAGAATGTAGGGGTTAGGAGCTCCGACATTGGGAGTCCGACAATCCCACTCTTTCTAGCTTTATCTTGAGCCAGTCACTCAACTCTGAGTCTCAGCGTCTTCTGGAAACTGGGGAAATATCAACCTAGCTCATCACAGGGTTTCAGTTAGAATTATAGCAGACATCATGAGTATATAAGGTTTAGTACACATACACCTGTTTCATGCTCTATTCTAGGTGACAACTCACTGGAAGAGGAGAAGGGAGCAGAAGTCTCATGAGAATGAAGCTATGGGACCTCCTATTACACTAAAAATGATTTCAAGTAACGCAGAGGAAACATCTTGAGAATTTCTGCTCAGTTTCTCTGCCTGGATCCCTCCTCTCTCTGTGGCTTCCTGCATGAGCCACTTCCCTTGCTCTAAAGGGAGAATGCTTCTCTCAGGGCTGGTTTTAGCAGCAGAAGGCAGGCTGTGAGCTGAGCTCCTCCTCTTCCAACTGTGAAGACTCCTCACAGAGTGGTCACGTACTCTATCCTGACTGGCTTCTTCAACCGTAGATATAAGGAATAGAAAAAGAACATTCATGAAGAAAACTTAACAATGGGGCATTGTCTTACCGGCAATAACTGGTGGCATTGAGAAAACCCAGCTTGCTTTTTTGTAGCAATGAAGATGCATTAAAGCCCATCCTGGCTATTTTCTAAATTAAAAGAAAGAGAAGTTATGTTATGGGATAATGGAGAATGTTTTCAGTTCCATAGGATGTGATGAAAAAGTAAGTGTACTAAGTTGGCAGAAACTATATGCATAAAGATCTAATGTTCTCCTCTTCCTGGCAAGAGGAAAAGTCCATCATAAGAAAGCACGTGAGCTAGAAAGTTGGTTTGGTGCCCACATTCAAACTCCCCATCAATTTATGCCTGGGGAGATGAAGCCACCTCACTAGTGAGCACAAGAATGGCACTGGTCTGCTTTCCATTCGACTATTAGTGATCCCGGGGCCCCCATAAACCACTGAAATGTCCTGGCATGTAATCCCCAGAAGGGATGCAGGAAATTCTCAGATCCAAACCACATCCCTTGGTTTTCTATTTAAAATATACAGTTACTGAAACCATTTCAGGCCATTTCCCAAGATTCCTCTGGGGAAGGACAAGATGTGAGAATCACTGATGAAACTTTGCAGATAAGAAAAGGGAGGGTGGGAGAAGATTTCTTGCCTTCTTACTCACTTCATCAGATTTCTATGGGGGAAGTGCAATGCCACATTCCCTCAAGTGCACCATGCTAAGTGTTACAGAGGCGACTACTTGGCACCTCTTATCAACCATGGATGGATTCGGGCACGAGTAGAGGGGACAGCATGGTCACCAGGAATATGGAGTGCACCTTTTTCTGCTTGTCTTCTTCCTCCAGCAGCTGTAGCCTTTTGGTTTCCATCTCCTTGTGCCGGATGCTCTCCTTTGTGAGGGGGTTGCAGTTGTTATGTCCAGGGAGCAAGCGGAAGTAGCGTTTCTTTTCCGGGTCAAAGTAAAACCCTGGCAGATCTTTAGTCAAAAGAAATGAAATCCACTTCAACTTAAACACTGCACTGACTCACCTATGAAGGAACCAGTGACCTATCCACACCACCCCTCACAGATGCCTGTCTTTTCTGAGGGGCAAGAGGTGGGTTAACATGGTCAGTGCCCATCCTATGCCTGGTTTGGTCCTGCATGGGGGGAGCCGTTTGCCTCAGGACCCCATTCCAGACACAGCCAGGATGTTTAGGTAGTGTTTCAATTTGCTGCAGAATTTCCTCCAAGCCAGGAATGGGCATTGACACACATGGAGTTTACCCACATGCAAGTGAAGACCACACATGGCTAAGAAGGGCAGTCAAAACAGGTATGACCAGATGACAAGGCAGGATGAGGTTTCATCTTTCCTACAGGCAGGGACCCGAGAGGTCTACCGTCCAGCTGACTGCCTCACCCGGCACCGAAGAACTCCCAGCTGTGCCAGATGAGGTTGATGGGGCCTCGTCATCGTCAACATGGCCAGAGTCCTGTGGGCTTTGCTGTGCCACTGCGTTATACCTGTTGACACAGAGTCACAGTAACTTGCAATGAGGAGCTTGAGTCCCAGTCATTCTCTGACTATGGGATCCTGCCAGGGTCAGTCAAGGAAGTTCCACAGCCGTCACCCCAACCCTCTGATCCTTCTGATTACTTGGGGAGCTCTGACCTTGCTCTTTTCCTTGAAAGCAGTGCTACCTACTACAAATATACAAAAGTCAGGGCAAGGTTTTGGTTCCTCATCCTTTTTTTTTTTTTTTTTAAGTTTTTATAGTTTATTTATTTTTGAGACAGAGAGAGACAGAGCACGAGTAGGGGAGGCGTAGAGAGAGAGGGAGACACAGAATCTGAAACAGGCTCCAGGCTCTGAGCTGTCAGCACAGAGCCCGACACAGGGCTTGAACCCACAAACCGTGAGATCATGTCCTGAGTCGAAGTCAGACACTTAACCGACTGAGACACCCAGGTGCCCCTGCTTCCTCATCCTTAACAGGACGCAGGTCATAGTAATTTCCTTTCTTTGTCTTCTCATGTGAGCATTTTGTGAGTTTTTTTTTTTTTTCTCATTTTCCAAATGAAAAGGGGAATAGAAATCTTTGCCAATGAGAATGTTACCAACTGGGCTCATTTGTCAGCTCAAGAGCAGTTACGAGGCCAGGTTCATTTCATTCTTTATTGGATTTTGCAATACAAAAGTTTACATTTTACTTGGCTGCACAACCTTACACATGGAGAAACTGGGGTTCAGGACACAGAAGTGATGTGCTCAGTCAGTACTCAGATAGAGCCATGGTTTAAAGTAAACACTTAATGTGCAAAGCTACAAGCAGCGTCTGTGGCAATTACAGGCTGGGGGATAGAATGATACAGCAAGATACCTAACTGTAGAATCCTGACAAAATCCACTTTAAAAATCAAGAACTTCCTCCCTAACCCTCAAAGGAATACAAACTGAATGACTAGGTTGAAGGAATGAAAGAACTTTCTCTTCTGTCTGTAAATTCTAACTATGCCGTTCAGAGAAAACCATTTACTCTTCCTTTTTACAGCCCGGAGCTTTTAAAGGCAGCTCATCTGTGATGAGCAGCAACAGGAGGAAGGACGAAGCATCATGACAAATGTCTATATTTCTAGTTCAATGAACGCTGCCTGTCTACACAGAGCCCAAAAGGTGTGCCTGGCATGTTTCCACACTACTCTACCAAAGCAGAGGAGTGCTCTTTTCGCACAGATCGTATTTTGCTGCTCATTGTACTCTTGTGGGAAGGCTTGGGGCCCCCAAAATATCCATGGCTCTCCTTATGTTATACAAACATATGAACATTGGGCACTGTCCTGATCTTTCTACAGTATGGGTCAAATCTGGGACTCTGGCTCAGAGCCACCGATTTTATCCTGCACCCACCACGTATGAAGGGCCTGCTCAGAGGCAGGAAGCCCATCAGAAGCTTTACATAACAGTCCTGCAAACCTTGTCAGTATTAGCTCTCTTGTACAAGGGTGACTGAGAGTGAAGTAACTTGCCCAAATTCACACAGGAAAAAGGAGAGGGTCAAACCTAGGCCTCCTGATTCCAAAGCCCTGTTCTTTCTACTTTGATGGTTTTTATTACTGTTTAGGCCAATCTGTTCTAGAGAAGCATCTTGGTATCTGGGATCTTCTGACCTTGTGGCTAGACACCTGCCCATGTTAGAAGGAGGTCTGAAGTGCGGTGGAATTTTGAAATTGGTGGGCAGGCCTCCTCTGGTGAGGAGGGGGCTGTGCAAAGATTCCTGCATGAAAGAAACACAGTCCAGTCCCGGAACAAGATGCCTACCCACACCAGGATAAGACACTCTCCACAGCTCAGGGCCAATAGGACTTCTGGGCATAAGAAAAATTAGAGAATGGAACCTGTTTTATAGTGGGGACTCAACTGAGTATAGATGAAGTTTTACTTTCTAAGCTGGGTAGCGGGTACACGATGTTCGCTGTATTAGTCTTTATACCTTTTTGTGTTTCTTAAATACAGTATTATATATTTAGCTGTTCTAAGGACTTAGGCTTAATGAAATTAGGTCTCTAAAAAGCTATTTTCACTGGCTGGAAAAAAAGGGAGAGAGAGACAGAGGAAAAGTTTGCAAAACAGAAAAACAGCTCTCCAGTTCTGTTGAGGTCTACTTCTAAGCCTCTGGCTACCGCTCTGGACAGAGGTCATGGGCACTCCAAGAAGGAAGAAGAGTGTGATCATATCTCCTCATTACTCAACCGGTGGCAGGCAGGCTGACCTGCAGCAGCGGCGCCCCTGGGAACGTGGGCTCCACCTCCCACCCCGCGTCTGGATGAGAAGCCTGGCGGCACAACGCAGCCGCACAGTGCTGGGGCCGCCCTGCGCAGCAGCACTTGCCTCTCAGCAGAACCGTGTTGTCCGAGCCAAGGGCTCCGCTGGTGGCTCCTTCTCAAACGTCTTCTATTCTGCCCGTTGCTTTTATGCATTTCTGCTCCTAAAACAGAAAAAAAGACAGTTTACATATAAATATGTATCTGCATGCAGTTTTCATTTGCTTTTTTTAAATAAAAAATTTTTGTATTTATTTTTGAGAGAGAGAGAGACAAGTGTGTGAGCAGGGAGGGGCAGAGAGAGGGAGATAGAATCTGAAGCAGGCTCCAGGCTCCCGGCTGTCAGCACAGAGCCTGACGTGGGGCTCAAAGCCACAAACTGTGAGATCATGATCTGTGCCACAGCTGGATGCTTAACCGACTGAGCCACCCACCGGGCCCCATTTGCTTTTTTTTTTTTTAATGTTTATTTATTTTTAAGAGAGTGTACATGAGCAAGCGGGGGAGGGGCAGGGAGAGAGGAAGAGAGAATCCCAACCAGGCTCTGCACTGTCAGTGCACGAACTGTGAGATCCTGACCCGAGTTGATATCATGAGTTGATGGTGGACTAGTGACCACCCAGGTGCCTATTTGCTTCTGTGATAGTTCCTTCATGGTCAGAGGTGGGCAAAAGGACGGCCCAACACGGGTTCTCACCAAGCCAACATGCCAGGCCTCACCTATAAAGGCTGCCTCCAGGTGGAGATACCGATAAAATCCCATGCTTCTGAAGCCACCTCTCTGGCTGCAGTTCTCTTACCTCACAGTCGACACCTGGGCTGGCAGTCTACCGCCTTCTGGTTCCCCGGGTCCCCGTGTGAGGTGATGGCAGATTCTCACAATTACTTTAGATGACAGCTGAGACTGGCATGGACTCCTAGGTTATTCTTCTTTCTCTTTTTTACCAGCTAACATCAGAGCATGTCATTTTTCTTTCACTCCACACACATCCCTATTTGCAGAAAACAGTCGACAGTGAACACTTTGTCCTACACAATGTATAAAGGTTTTAGCTTCCTGAAGTATGGTAGCCGCTAAAGGGACAGGTGTGTATGTGCATTTTTTAAAATAATGTGTCTTAATGACACATATTGCCATAATATTTCAAGTGACTTTTTCAAGTCTTGTGTTGCCTGAAACTAGCACTTGAATCACAAGCTTCAACACTGGGAATCACAGTGAGAGGTCTTAAAAAGACCAAACTGTGGTACATGGACCAGCTGCTGTGAGTTTCATGCATTTCCAACATGTGGTGATTCCCTCCACCTCCAACCCATGGGAGACAGTGATGACGCCTTACTGAATACACTTTCATACCGAATGTACTTTAAAGCCACTTTCAAGTGCCAAAACAAAATTAGAAAAACACTTCGAGGGCTGAATGCAGCCAAAGAATAGGCTACAAATCTATTTCCCAACTTGTACTTCTGAGCGGTGAATGCTTGTTAGCATCAGAGCACCACAAGTCTGGACTCCTGGTCCAGTACTTACCCAAACATTCTGTGAATTCTGTAACAAAGTCCTTAGTTTGCTTGCTTCAGACACAGTCTCCCCCCCCCTCCAGGTCATCCCATAACCCAGATTACTTTCACCGGACGTTCTCCAGTCCTGTGCCAGAATTAATACAGCACTATTGAAGCAAAGCCTATAGCCGTGCGGGCAGCCATCATAAATGTTTTATTTCCATCCTCTGCTGGGGCAGTATGAATTAACCTAGTTTAATTATTCCTAGTTGGAGTCATTCCCAACAACGCAGGGTGTTATCACTGTCCTCACACTCTTTCCACTTCCCTCCAGTCCTTACTTGCTGGCATAGCTCCCTGCCTCACAGGGAAGAGACATGGTGTCAGGTATGAACAGCCCAGCTTCTCTCTGTTCCCTCCCACAAATACCGGCTTTCACACTTCTAATGGTCTTCTCTCTGGTGTCGGAGCAGTAGGTATCCCTGTGCCTCTTCCTGGCAAACCCACCCCACCTGGCTGCTCCTCACATTTCTTCTCAGACTCTGCAGACACATGTTCAGTCAGTTTCCCCTGTCCTCTCTCAGCTTATGAACACCGCCAGGCTTTTCACTTGTATGTGCTCCATCTCTAACCCTAAAGGAAGAAGAATGTTCTGAGCATGTGGTCCACGTGCACACATCCCACCTGTGCGTTTCCCAGTCACTCCTCAGGCCGCCTCCCTTGTCTTTCTGCTCAAATGCTCTTGTGAGGTCCTACCTGCTAAAGCTAGTGGTCTCTTTTTAGCCCATTCCTACCACATGTGATGCCATGAAGCTTCACTCTTTCTTTGGCTTCTGGAATATCTTTCTCTTGGTGTTCCTCTTGTCAAATTCAGTCTTCACTGGTTTTTCTAGTGTCCCCATGTCTGTTTTCTACTGTTCTGTCCTAGATCCTCTTCTTTTCATACTTCTACCATCTCACCTGCCAACACAGATTCGGCTCCAAGCCCTAGTATCCGTCCTGAGCATCCACTTCTTCCACTGCCATCTCCTCCCACAGCGATGGCAGACCCATAGGCTCAGAGCCCATGATCTCTCCCTAGTTCCCCCTCTGCTTTTACCTACCTGTATTTCCCTTCTCTGTAAATAATACCTCTACTGCCACCCTCACCGCTGTTCAACAGCGTGACAACTTTATTCATCTCCCTAAGCAACCCATTTTCACGGCTCCTGGACACCATATACATAGGTCTCACTAAGGATCAATATTCTTGATCTTTATTTAAGAATCAAGTTGTATTTACTAAGTTACAAGCTAAGAGGCATTGTGCAGAGGAAGGGAAATAGGTAGGATTAGCATTAAAAAAACTGAAAAGAGTGGTGCCTGGGTGGTTCAGTTGGTTAAGTGTATGACTTTCGTTCAGGTCATGATCTCGAGGTTCCTGAGTTCGAGCCCTGAGTCAGGCTCTGTGCTGACAGCTCAGAGTCGGGAACCTGCTTCTGATTCTGTGTCTCCCTCTCTCTCTCTGCCCTTCCCCTGCTCACACTTGGTCTCAATCTCTCTCTAAAATAAACATTATAATATTAGAAGAAAAAGAAGGCATAATGTCATAAAAAGATAAACATTTCTGTAGATTGCACATTCTATACAAATGACCCCAGTTTGCTTTAATTACGAAATAATGCATGACTCCAGTGAAGACCACAGTAATGTTAAATCAAAGGCTTTAGATCAGGAGGCAAGAGCATGGCATACTTCCACCATTATCCTCAAAAGAAGGGCACAAAAAGAGTAGGGCACAGTAAACAATGACAGCATTGATTGTGGACTATTTCCAAACCACCACTTCACACAAGCACAGGTGCCAAGTACTGCAACAGATTGAGAGGCTGACAGCATCAACCAAATTAATAAGCAACATTAAGCCAAAGTCATTTTATTTTTTTTCAAGTTTATTTACCTATTTATTTTGAGAGAGAGAGAGAGAGAGGGAAAGAGTGAGAATCCTAAGCAGGCTCCACACTGTCAGCACGGAGCCTGATGGGGGGCTCCATCCCACTACCCATGAGATCATAACATGAGATGAAATCAAGAGTTGGATGCTTGGGGCACCTGGGTGGCTCAGTCAGTTAAGTGTCTAACTTCAGCTCAGGTCATGATCTCATGGTTAGTGGGTTCAAGCCCAGTGTCGGGCTCTGTGCTGACAGCTAGCTCAGAGCCTGGAGCCTGTTTCAGAGTCTGTGACTCCCTCCCTCTCTGGCCCTCCCCTGCTCATGCTGTCTCTCTCTCTCTCTCCTAGAAATAAAAAAAAAAAAAAAATTAAAAAAAATTTAAAAAAAAAGATTGCTTTGTTAAAAAAAAAGTCACAACGAATACAAGTTGACTGAATATAGAAAGGATTAGAGTAGGATGAAATGGGATCTTTTTGTACTTTTAAGAAGCCTACTTCAGGGGTGGGAAGAGAGTCTTCCAAAAGCAGATGTAGTTTAGTCTTAGTATCTACTTAATGCATTATTTGTCCTTATCACTGTGTACTGAACTTTGTACTCTCATCTTATATTAGACGTGATGTGAATTCTCTCAGCAAAGATCCTGCTTTGTTCCTTCCTCTGTTCCTAGCACCCATGACCTAGTTAGTTCAGTAAATGTTCACTGAACTAAACAAAAACAAAACCACCTTGCAGCTACTTTAAAATCCCAGGTAGCCCCTTTCTGCTCTGGGCATTTTCACTTGCTATTCAACACAGATTTACAGAGAGCCCACTGAGCCTTGGGGAGCAGGCAGAGATAAATAAACTGTGGTTTCTATTCTCAAGACACTAGTTGGTCACTAGGGATGCTGATGTATGAACCGGTTCCTTCATTAGTGAAGACTCCACTCTGGTCTCTCCACATGTAGCAAAAAAGAAGACAGTCATTGCTCTGAGTGGAAGGAAGGCTAGGGGGAGAGACAGTCTGAGTTGCAGTTGGGAGTGTCAGGCAAGGGGGTGAGGTGAGGGACCTGCAGCAAACAGTTTGGTATGGCCAGAGCCTAAAGTACAAGGAGTTGAGGGATGAGGCTGGAAAGGCAGGCAGAGCCAGCCCATGAGGGCTCTATGATTAGACATCCATGTTGGAAACGGCACTTTACAGGCAGCAGAGAGAATAAGCTGGAAGTTAAGGTCTGCTGCAGCAAATGAGATGAGATGAACCCACCATAGGAAATGGCACTTGGGACAGAGGATCTTGAATTTAGAAAGACTCATGTGAATTTCATAGGAGAGGTGGAGACAGAGGAGTGAGGAACCAGTAAGTTACTAACTGGTAGGGTCCTGGTCTGGGAGACCAGGAATAAAGTAAAAGAGCAGTTTGGGGGAGAGAAGACAATGAGTCTCGTTTTGAACATACCGATTTCAAGCTGCCTATAGAACACCAAGGTAGGCAGCTGTTAAAAGGGTCTGGAAATCAAGACAGGAAACAAGGCTAAAGATACAGATTTGAGAGTCATCAACACATGATGATACACACTGAGACAAATGTAGATCCAAAGTCAAATATATAGTGAGGATTTGAATTCAAAATTAGAGTCAATTTTGGGGGCACCTGGATGGCCCAGTTGGTTAAGCTTCTGACTTCGGCTCAGGGCATGATCTCACGGTTTGTGAGTTCCAGCCACACATCCGGCTCTGTGCTGACAGCTCAGAGCCTGGAGCCTGCTTCGGATTCTGTGTCTCCCCCTCTCTCTGCCCCTCCCATGCTCTCTCTTTCAATAATAAAAACGGGGGCACCTGGGTGGCTCAGTTGGTTAAGCGTCCGACTTCAGCTCAGGTCATGATCTCACAGTTCATGGGTTCGAGCCCTGCGTCGGTCTTTGTGCTGACAGCTAGCTCAGACCCTGAAGCCTGCTTCAGATTCTTTTTTTTTTTTTTTTAGAAAGAATTCTTTTTTTTTCTTATATATATATTTTTATTTATTTCTAGGAGAGAGAGAGACAGCGTGAGCAGGGGAGGGTCAGAGAGAGAGACACACACACAGACTCCGAAACAGGCTCCAGGCTCTGAGCTGGCAGTCAGCACAGAGCCCGACGCGGGGCTCGAACCCACGAACCACGAGATCATGACCTAAGCGAAAGTCGGATGCTTAACCGACTAAGCCACCCAGGCGCCCCGCCTGCTTCAGATTCTGTGTCTCCCTCTCTCTCTCAGAAATAAAAAATAAATAAAAATGTTAACAAATTAAAAAGAAAAAAACAAAATTAGAGTTAATTTTATTGGAAATTCACACCTATCAGTTTTTAGATCAGTGTTTCTTAACTGAGGGCAATTTTCTTTACCAGGGGACTTTTGGCAATGTCTGGAGACATTTTTGTTTGTCACAACTTGGGGGGAGGGGCAGTGACAGAGGTGGTTGACACACTGCCAGTTAGTGAGAAGCCAGAGATGCTGTTAACCATCTTACAATACACAGGACAGTCCCCTAAAATGAATTATCCCAGCCCCGAATAGAGCTGATGTAGACGAACTTTTTTTTT